TGCTATTCAACAGAAATATGGTGCAAGCACATATGTAGTTTAAATTTTTCTACTAACTGCATTAGAAAAGTTGAAAAGAAACAAGGAGATTTCTTTTATTTAACTCAGTAGATCTAAAATACCATTTCATTTCTCAATATAAAAATATTAAGATGTTTTACATTTTTTTCATGCTAAGTCTTTGAAATGCTGTGTGCCTTTTGCACTTATAGCACATCTCAGTTTAGACTAGTCATGTTGCAAGGTCTAATAGCCATGTAGCTAGTGGTGATTCTCCTGGTTTGCCCAAGTCTAGTTCTTCTCTATTTCTAGAATGGTCTCTGATATACCCAATGCATTCAGTAAAGCCTTGTTGAATGAATGGATCTTGCTATTTCAGACATGAAACAAAAAATGGAAGTTGTTTTTCATATTAGATCTTTTTGGCAGTTGTTAGGGTGGTGGATGCTAGAGGTATTTAGATATTTTCTTCAGAACATTGCTGGTGCTTGGTAAAACTGGTTTCTTCGGTAGTCCAATTTAAAAGATTTGTTTCATAGATATATTAATAAGAAGTAACTGGTATGTTCTTCTTTAAAAAGTGTTCCTTAGAACATTAATTTCAACTCTTAGTGCTGGCTATAGAATATTGGACCTTAGGTGGTTTATTTTGTTGTTGTTTTGAGCCTTAGTTTTCTCATTTGTAAATGAAGGATTTCATCCATCATACCTGTCTTCATAGGTTAAATGTGATTACATATAAATAGTCTGGCACAGTGAGTGAAAAAGCATAATTGATGGTACTTATTATTAAAATGTAATAAAAACTGAACTTTTAAATATTGAGACTTTTGCATTTTAATTTTAAACATTTCAGCTTATATGTTTATGAATATTAGGTTCTTAACATGTCCTGGTTATAATGCCTTCATAAGTCTGGATTTGAAATTTATTATAGAAATCACTTGAAGATTAATTTTTCTGGTTCTCAATATTATCATCTGTGAATTGGAGAAAAAATAGATCTACCTACACTGTGCCTGGCATATGACAAACACTCAAAAATGTGAGGTAGTATTCATTTAGGTAATGTTCATTTATTTTTAAAAATTCAGTGTTTTGAAACATTTATATGTTTATTATAATAGTTAAATTTTTAATTCTTTTTCATCTTGCTTTGATGAACTTTAGTAACATTAAGTAGAGTTAAAATTCACGTTAATGCAACCACGTAAATGTATTTAACATTGTCATGTTTTTTGCCCACCTCCTTGCATGTTTTATGAAAACTAGGATTTGTATTTAAATTGTAGGATGAAATTTTGTCTCATTCCTTGGCCTGCTTGTTTTAACTGTATTCAAAACCAAATTGGTAGTCATTGAAGAAAGAAGGTTCTATATATTTTGTAATAATATTCTTTCTTCAATAGCATATATGTTTCAGCAGTCACCATTTAATGAAGTGATGCTGATCTCTCAGATGAGAGGGTGTGTTCAAATTTTAGGTAAAACTTTCCATTTGGCTTCTAATTTCATGTTCAAGACACTTTAAACATATAACTTTCTTAATGATTCATTTAACTTTTCCCCATCGCTTCAGAAATAAGGTATGGTTTTAAAGTATTTTAAAGTCATAAGAACTTTTTTTTTGGTTTTTGGTATTACTAAATTTTTTTTTCAAGGATGGATTAAAAGGTCAGATCATATTATACTTTATACTTAGCCTCAATTGATAACAGTGTTCTGACAATTCTGTGTCAGAAATATCTGTCAAAAACATCCTCTCACCTCCCCATGGTTCTTTACCATCTCTCACCAATGAATTGAATTATTCACTTAGTAAACTAACATTTGGGGATTCTCTTAGCCCATTCGGGTTTCTATAACAAAATACCACAGGCTAGGTAGTTTACAAACAACTGAAATTTATTTCTCATAATTCTAGAATTTAGAAAGTCCAAGATCAAGACACTAGCCTGCTTGTGTCTGATGAGAGTCCGCTTTCTGGTTCATTGCCATCTCCTTCTTGTTGTGTCCTCAATGGTACAAGGTTTAGGGTGTTCTGTGGGGGTCTCTTTTATAAGAGCATTAATTCCATTCAGAAAGGATCCACCTTCATGATCTAAGCACCTCCAAGCATCCACCTTCCTTATCTTTGAAGGTTAGAATTTCAACATCTGAATTCTGGGAGGGCACAAACATTTAGACCACTGCTGGGGGCACCTACTTAAATTTAGGGATGTAGTGACGTACAAGATCAGTGCCATCTATGCTTTCATGGAACTTATACTTTCTCTCCTGTTGCATTTGGCTGTTATCTGTCTTTCAGCCCTCATCTTGTCCTCCTTCCATACTATCTTCTTTTTTTAAAATGTATTTTTATTGATTTCAGAAAGGAAGGGAGAGGGAGAGAAACATCAACTATGAGAGAGAATCATTGATTGGCTGCCTTCTGTACACACCCTACTGGGGTTTGAGCCCCCAACCCTGACCAGGAACTGAACTGTGGCCTCCTGGTTCATAGGTCAACACTCAACCACTGAACTACTGCAGTCAGGCATCCACACTATCTTCTGTACCAGGGATGGGAGCCTTTTTTCTTCCAAGGGCCATTTGGATATTTATAACATCATTCATGGGCCATACAAAATTATCACCTTAAAAATTAGCCTGCTATATTTGGTCAGACATTTACTTACTTCACTCCTAATGCCTTGGCAGCACCAGACCATATGATTTCATGGCCCTTTGCAGCTTGTGGGCTTGACGTTCTCCACCCCTGTCCTATATCATCTCTACTCAGTCTATTTCTTAAAACCCTTAAATGGTCTTCATTGGACCAAAATTATATTCCAGATGCTTTACCATTTATAAGGTCTTCATGATATGGTTCCTCACGCAAACCTCATGATGTTGAAATACTTGCCCTTTTTTTGAGGCCTTATATCCTTTAAAACTTGGTTCAGAAGTTTGTTGCCATCCCCATCTTTCTTTGGCTGGGTTAGATTATCCTTTGAACATCCACAACACTGAATCGACCTCTCCTATAGTAGTCATGGTATCCCAAATAGTATTCTTACCTCATTTGACCATGAGCAAATGAATGAAAACCCTAAAAAGAATCATTTTGAATAATGCACACTTCTTACAATGTCTAAGAGAATATCTATACTTCAATCTTTTATCACATATGTATTAGCTATGGATCTAGGACTCTGTGGGTACTAGATAGTAAGTAATCAGTAGATGTGTCCTCTACCGTTACAGTTACTACTCTGAGAGAAAATTAAAATAATCAGAACTTTCTGGTAATTTTGTGGGCAATGATGTTTTGTGTAGCTATGGGCATTAAAAATTTGTTCTTTGTTTTTTGAACCACAGGAAGCTTGTCTAGGTTCTGACTCTTGCGTGGGTGTATATTTCTAGTGTGCATATGTGCTCTGGAGCTTCTTCAGTCAGTCCCCAAGTCAAGTCATCATAGTCTTGAGGAACATGACATTCACTTTGAGATGATTTCTACATATTTATTGGGCAGTTCCTGTAGAGTCTGGTGATGAATCATAGGAAAGAACCAGTGGGAAAGAAGGGTTTTATTCTGGTATCCTTCCCTTTCAGTTTTTATTTTCCTTGGACAAATTTTAATGAACATAAGACTTTTATGGGTTTTGTAGTGACTTCTATGTTCACATTTTAAGAAAAGTATTTTTTTAAACTAATTACTTTTAGAAACATTTCTTCACCCTTTCATCTCATGGTGCTGAATTCCATGTAGTGGGCATAGAAAATGTTACTAATAGGATCATCTCTTTGCTATTCAGTTTCATTTCATATTGTATAAATGTGCACACAAGATATAAATGAGATAACAGTTAATCAAGCAAATAATTGGTTGCCCACATTATGAAAATGTCTGGGCTTAAAATTTATAGCAAAAGACAGATTTTTTAATGTGTAGGGGTTTTCTGTGTGTTTGCTTATAAGCATTCTTCTAATCAGAGGAGAAAAGAGTCGTGTGCTACAAAGACAATCCTGTATCTTTAAAATTCAAAACATACTTTTAAGTGATGGCACTTGTACTGCAGTTTATACCCATAGTGAACATTCAGTATACTTATGTACACTTCCAAGCTACACATCCGAATTTAAAATGCCTTGGATTTTGTAGTTACATAAATAGACCATGGCAATATAGACACCCAGAATATATGACAGTGGACTTGGAAATGTATGTTGTTAATGCTTCAGATTCACTAAAGGATTTTTGAAATTGAGTTTGTTTTGCATACAATATACCATTGAGACCATAAAAATAATCAAACATACGTAACCGTGATTGCAGTTAAATTGTGAAGGGCAACGGATTTGTGCTTTATTTTATTTGAGAAAATCTATTGCACTCTATTGTATAGAAATGGATAGCAAGTCCTCGAAGTAAAAGTTAATTTTCATTCTTTACCTTTTGTGGGTTAAATACCACAAAGTTGAACTATAGTCTGCAAAAATATCCTGCAAATATATGTGAGAAGCCGGAGAGCAATGTGGAAACTTAATTAATATGCTGAGAACATACAGCCACTGGATTGAGAAAATGAAAATTAATGTATGAGTGTTTTAGCTAACACTGTGCTTTGCCCCCAGAACCTACTGTTTATTATTGTGTGTTTTAGTGGGAGACAGAAGCAGTATCGATTGAAAAACATTTCTTAGTGAATTGGGAACAGTATGGCTTTCTAGTTCCTGGTTCTTTGGTTTCTTTGTTCCTCATTGAACTAGTCCTGGGCTATTTTAGCTGAACATTTTATATACTAATGGAGTCTAGGGAAGTGCCTTTGGCAGCTGTTCATGGGAAAAATAATGAAATACACTATTTAGTACTGCATGCTGCTGCTGTAAAATGTGGGGAGTAGTTTATAGAGATCTTGGTGAGCAGAGCTGTATCCACTTTAAGTTTAACAAGTGTGTGAACCTGAACGAGGAAGTTATATTTTCATATGAGAATAACTAGAGCTCTTTTCTTACAGGTAAAGAAAACCTGCACAGAATCAGATGTTTCAGAACCTCAGAATTCCAGGTACAGTAAAATGGAGGCCAAGACTTTCTAAGAAATATTGCAATTTTCCAGATACAGCTGTGATTTGAAAAACCGAGTTTCTTAAAGAACTTATCTGTCTGGAAATTGACTGGCTAGGGTACCATCTTATATAATGAAAGCCTAATATGCAAATCGACCGAATGACTGAACAACCAGTCGCTATAACGCACACTGACCACTAGGGGCAGACGCTCAACACAGGAGCTTCCCCCAGCCTGCAGGCCCTGACCAGCAGTGGCAGCAGGGGGCGCCAGGCCAGCCAAGGCGGGTGCCAGCGGGGCCCCACCCCTGGTTGCCCCTAGATCAGCCCTGATCACTGGCCAGGCCTAGGGACCCTACCCGTGCACAAATTTCGTGCACTGGGCCTCTAGTTAATCATAATATTAATATAAAAGACAACAATGATTAAAGTCAGCTTTAAAGAATAATAGCAGAAACATCTCTAGAAATACTTGAAAATATCTTCCCTTGGCATTCATTATTTTACATTCATCTTCATTTTTCTTACCAACCTCCTTTCATGTATTCACATCTGAAATTTCACCACAAACTGAATAAATTTCAAGTCTATGTTTATATATATAAAAAAAACACCCACAGTATTTCTTTTTCTTTTCAATCATTGCTAGATTTTGTGGATGCTGTCAAATTGGAAAAATATAATTTAATTCTCTTTTTGGTTATTTGGAGCCTGTTTAAATAATGAATGAAAATGGTCAAGTCACTACATGCCCAACGGATTTTTTCAGACCTACACATTTTCATTTTGAGTTCCAGGGTCTCAATTTTAAATAGATAGGGGAAAGTACTGCAAATACATTGCTATAATAAACACATATCCTTAATATGATATTAATGGTATACCATAACCTATTGCATTAAGAAATTTATATTTAATGGTGAGATGGGTCTGTTTATTTTATCCTACTTGTTCCAACATCTGATGTACACAGAGATTTTCTTGGTATAATAAAACAATATAGCTCTAGGTAATGTGCTAATAACTGCCATATATTCTTTTTGGATGGGAAGTACATATTTGTACAGTCCATTTACTATTTGAGTAACTTTTCCTTTGCTTTATGCAGTATGACATTTCTATAATTAATTCCTATACATTTTATATTAAAATGATTATATATATTCTTTTCTTTTGGATCATTAAGTATATAATCTGCTATAAAATTTATGACATTTGATCTTTTTTTTTTTTTATAATTAGGTATCAAAAGAGAACCAAATAGTTTTAGCTTATTGGAGCAGTAGGAAATGGATTAACTATTACATGGTTTCCTACAAAGCAGTAATTCCAGGATGTGTGGATATTTCCTACTGAAGCATTTCACTGACATCTATGAGTGACCTACCTATGGCTTGTTATTTAAGTAATTCAATAATTTTTGCAAGCAGCTGGTCTTGAGGATTACTAAGAAAAACAGAACAATACCACCATTCTTATTAATATTTCATATCAAATATTTTTACCCTCAAGCCACTCAGGATTTTTGGACAGATAATGTTGTGCTTCAGTAAATGAAGCAAGCCACCAAACTGATTGTATTCACAATTGATGTAAATAAGTCAGAGAAGAAATAGAGTTTAGAGTTCAGTGTATTTAAACCTAGAATTAGATCATTTTCTTTTATCTAGTAAATCTCAGGTCATATGGCCTTAAAAGTACAATTTTATTTTTAAGGCAAATAATTACTATGTTAAAAAGACTACCTAAAATGTATTTTATTGTTTTATAATATATCACATTTAATATTTAATGTATTATATTAACATATTAATGTATAATAAATTATATATTATATATTAATTGAAAAGTAGCTTGACTTCCTGGAAACCAGTAGTCAGTTACCATGGATTAGCTGCTTCTAAAAGTTTCCTCCTATGTTCATAGCAGCACAATTCACCATAGCTAAGATCTGGAAACAGCCTAAGTGCCCATCAGTAGATGAATGGATTAGAAAACTGTGGTACATCTACACGATGGAATACTATGCTGCTCTAAAAAGGAAGGAACTCTTACCATTTGCAACGTCATGGATGGAACTGGAGAGCATTATGCTAAGTGAAATAAGCCAGTCAATGAAGGAAAAATACCACATGATCTCACTCATTCATGGATAATAGAGACCATTATAAACTTTTGAACAATAATAGATACAGAGGCAGAGCTCCCTCAAACAGATTGTCAAACTGCAGCAGGAAGGCCGGGGAGGGTTGCGGGGCAGGAGGTAGGGGGGTAAGAGATCAACTAAAGGACTTGTATGCATGCATAGAAGCATAACCAGTGGACATAAGACATGGGGGGATAGGGGAGGCTAGGGGACTGTCTAGCGCGGGGGGATAAAATGGACACATATGTAATACCCTTTGTAATACTTTAAGCAATAAAAAAAAATAAAAAAAAAATAAAAAAATAAAAAAAAAAAAAAAAAAAAAAAAAAAAAAAAAAAAATAAAAGTTTCCTAATCTGTGATATAAATGGGTAAAATTAGACAAATCAATTTCTAAAGACTCTAATACTTTGTGATATCAAAAAAACAACAACAATCCTTACTTATTAACATCCAAGGTAGAAAGACCTTCAAGATGATCTAGAATCACTTACTGGTTCAAAATTGCCCAGTCATTTTGATAATGGATAGTCTCCTCTCTTAACTTCTGGTGCAGGGAACAGTCTGCAAAGCCTAAAAGTGTCTGTAAAATAAAGATGTGACTATTCTTAGATTCTCTGTTAGTCATAGGTATTAGGTATTGAAGTGCCAAAACTAGCACTTAATTAATGCAATGATGGAATACCAAGAAGAGAACAAAATATGCTAACGAACATTCAGCACAAAAAGCATACAATAACTTACTGAATAGTCAACGAATCAAGAAATGTCCAGCCCAGCCAGTGTGGCCCAGTGGTTGAGCTTCAACCAGAAGGTCATGGTTTGATTCCCGGTCAGGGCACATGCCCAGGTTGCAGGCTTGATCTCCAGTGTGGGGCGTGCAGGAGTCAGCCGATCAATGATTCTCTCTCATCATTAATTTTTCTCTCTCTTCCTCTCTGAAATCAATAAAAATATATACTAGTATAAAAAGAAATGCCCCACACAGTATTTATTATATGCATGTACTAAGGTTCAGTTTTTAATAACCTACCAGAAAACACCCCACACCAAAATGCCTTTATTATAGACAACATTACTTTATTATATACATATATGACTAGATTCTTTTATGGTTATCAAAAACCACAAATATTCAGATATTCTCTCCTTATCCCCCTCTTTCCCTCTCCCTTCCCATGCTATAGGGAAGGATGGAGAGGAGAGAAAAGGAGAGGAGAGGGGAGGGGAGGGGAGGGGAGAGGAGAGAGAGAGAGAGAGAGAGAGAGAGAGAGAGAGAGAGAGAGAGAGAATAATATGAGAGATTCAGATAGAGATTTAAAAGCCTAAGGCTAGATAATTCTATTCTAACAAAATGCAAAGTAAAGAACTGAGCTCCAAATGAAATACTGCATCAGCATAAAATGCATGCCGGCTGCAGACCCGCTGCCTTATAAAGCGCTGCCTCACTTGGAACCTAACGCTCATGTCACTCATTTAGCTCACTTTATAGTATGTTGGTTTTGGATTTGAAAAGATTAGAATGAGTACAGATGGAAAGTGTTTTTACGGTAGGGAAGTAATTAAATTGGGTGTGGAGACTTTGTCAGGAAAATTCTTGGAGTGACATATGTGCATCAGCAAATTCTTTGTCTTGCTTGGCCTTAATTCTTTCTTGGGAAAGTAATGCTTGAGCTGCAGATGTGGCTGGTAGATGGGGAGAAAGAGAATTTACAAACCAATTCAATGTAAATAAGGTAAAAATATCTTCTTAGAAATAACTTGTGTGTACACACTGAAAGTCAGACGATAGGGAGAGTGTTTTCTCAGGTTCCTAAAACTATATTGAACTTGGTGTCATATGAAAAGGCCTATCATGTGCTACATGGAAGAGTGGCATTTCTCAATGTTTCTTCGTTTACTTTTCTCTGTGTCATTTGCCATACCCAGAATATAGTATTGTTGGCCTTTGTTCCTAAAACTGTTAACCATAAAATACTTGACCATACCTTAAAATTGTTTGTTACTAGGTAGACCATCTTACAACATAAACGGAAATATCTTAGGCTGATTTTGTCTATATTCATGGTGAATTTATTGGTGTAGATGTGTGCCTCCTTTGAGTCATCACTGAACATACATTGATCTTATTTAATTTTACTGTAACAGACAGCTCCTGGACAAGTGAAGTTAATAGCAGATGTTTCTTTGAGCCCCACATTTTTTATATTCTTTTGCTTTCAGTCCTTTTTATTTCTGATAGCAAGTGAGAAAATAATTCATTTTATTCTTTAATTGCATTCTTGGCAAATAATCATAGAGTGTTTATTTGTTAAAATAGTCTCCATAATATTAGAGTGATTTCTTTGGTGATCTTATTGGATGAAGTTGCATTATTCTTTACTTCTTTCCTTTTGGGGCCACTAATTAGTGGAGCAATTTCCTCATGATGAGATCAAGAATATAGAAAGAAAATAAAACTCAAGTCAGGCAATTTTTGTTTTAAACTCAATCACACTACCAATAGCAGATTACAATAAGGGAATCTAAGGGAGAGTATTAAAATATAGAAAGTACAATGGTGCGTATGAGCTAAGATGATAGTTTTTCCATCTAGAGTGTAAGATGGTTCTGTAGGTAATGGTGGAGGTGAACTCTTCTCCACTTTATAGGTTAAAGAAATTGGGTTTGCTGAGAACTTAATGATTGCCTGAAATCAGCAAAGCCATGGCCATCCTAACTTTACCCTAGTCTATCCTAACTTTACAATTATCAAGAGAAAGGCAGGAGACTCTCCAGCATTTGGAATGAATCTCTGTTTAACATCCTAGTAGTTCCGTGAGTCTCAGGAAGATTATCTGTTCAGTGTCTATG